CTTCCATACTCTCCGCTCCCCCTCACCTGAGAATGGGAGGGGCCAGTGCCGTCCAATGTTAATGACATGTACCCTATGTGACAAACAGAGCTTCAGCACGGCAGGCGTGTTGCAGTATATTTATTATAAGCTTTGCTTACAGAGACTTTATTCAACGCCATGACTAGAGACTGGCAAAATACAAAGTGTGTGGAGTCCAAATCCAACGCATGTTTTTGTGATGACTTGTGCAGCCCTTTTACTTTAAGGATTCTAGTTCATCATCTTCACTGACATGCTTTTATGCATTTAAAAATATGTTTTATTGTGAAATCAGCAGCCGACTTGTTGGATTTGTTCTTTGTTAACGGCGAGATACAATTACAGTTTGCTTTTGTAAGACTACAAGTGCAAAATACAGTTAACAATACTCTAAATGCTTGATTGTTATTTCAACCTTAACCTTATCTGTATTTTAAAACAGTATTGTGTTTTAACAATATTATTAAAACATAATACCATGTTTTAATATTTMATTAAAATATAGTATTATAGAATATAATCTAGTATAGTTAGAATACCTTTGATCAAACTGCCAGTTAAGTGATACATGCAACAAGACATGGACTTGAGGTCAAGAGACTTGAGACTTAACTTGGATTTTTGGTCAAAGACTTGAGACTTGACTTGGACTTGCACAAAAAGACTTGCACACATCTCTGGTCAGAGCTGTGAAAATCTTAGATTTCATCACTTTCTTTATCAACTGTTTGGACACAGAAATCAAAAAATGTAACAAAAACTGCTCATTTGTGCAATGAGTAAATTGCTCAACAGTGGGATGATCCACAAAATCCTCTGACTTGAATTATATTTTGTTCAGGATAGGAAGCACAGAAGAAAGCCAATGGAAGAAAAATAAAACCACACTCCTMACATACACCAAAACATGTGCATTGCCACTCATGTAAAACGTGTGGCTGAYGGAAATTTGAAGCCCCATTGTTTGGATTGTACAGTCCCAAACTGCCACAATCCAATGCCACGGCCACCCCACACTAAAAATGCACATAAAAAACAATGAATGACCAAACACATCAACACACACTGACATACTAAGAATTTTGGTAAAGATATGATAGTAAATACAGGGCCGGCATTGCTGATTCTGATTCCAATACAAATATCTGTCATGTTCACAATTATGATAAATCAAAGGACAAATATTTTAGGCAAATACAAATGTTTTGTATCAACTAACTACATGGGACATAGTTCTCACACTTGATAATTTCTGAGTAAAATATTGATGTTTGATGTGTTCAATTGAATAAAATATGGATTTCTGAATTTGCAAATCATGGAATTCTGTTTTTATGTACATTTTTCGTTGTATCCAAACTTCTTCAGAATTGTTGTTGTGGAAAAAGTGCCAAAGGGATGTGGGTCCTTTTACAGTCCACTGTAATTTGGATATTTATACTGATGCAGTCAGACTGCTTTTGATTGCTTTTGTTGTCAGATTTGTTATGATGCAATGCAGTTTAAGCTTGATCAATCTATAACTAGAAMAAGGTGCGATAAACTTTGTAAACTTATTGTGTCATGGTGTCCACTGCAGACTTTACACCCGTAATGTTGATGGAAAAGCYTGCTCAGTTCATGGAGACATCTGGCCCCAGTTGAAGAGCAAACAGTGTTTATTTACATGCGTGTTGCTGGTAATTTACCCTGCAGAGCCAAAAGCAACAAACCAGGGGAACATGACTTCTCACCTATATCCAGTTCAAAGGTTGGAGAAAAGTCCCAGTTATGCTTCACAAGGCCAACTGAGAAAACTGAGAAAAGATATGAAACTATAAAAATCACTCAACTTGTCTGGAACCACAGTGCCCCTGAAAAAAAAATTACATCATGTGTTACAAATTAATTATCACCTACTGCAAAGGCCCAAAATGTTTATGCTTCTGTGTGAGAGTGTTTATCTGTTGAGTTAGCAAAATGTCTTAGAATAATTATTCAGAAAGGAATCATTYCATCTGCATCTACAAATGAATAACATGAAGTTAACACAATTCAAGATGGCCACCACAGCCAGTTGATATTAGGAAACACAACAATGACTAGGTTTCATTTAGTTTTAGATGCTAAATTAAAACTGTCTGGTTGGCAGTAGTTGATTTGTCCTTGCACATGCTCTGTCCACTGTGTGGCACAAGTCTATTTATACATATTGAATATACATCACTATAGTTAGTAGTTCTATACACCTCCATGTATTTATAATGTGCTGCTCCATCTGTTCAGAGTGAGAAAAGCGACTGAGAAGCAATCACTCTTCACTTGATTGTGTAACAAGAGAAAAGATATCTGACTCCATCCAACACCAGCCCTTCGTGTTCATCGCCGTTGATGCTGCCCTGCTCAACGATATCCAATAAACCAAAGGACAGATTTGATGAAACTCTCACATCTACAACTGAATAACTTCTGCAATCATCCCAATTCAAGATGGCTTTAGAACAAAATACCAGATGGCTATACCTCAGTCAGATTTACAGATKTGACATGATAGTTATATTCATGACCCATACTAAATTTTGTAAACTGTTTCATAAATCTTTACATGTTTTTTGGACTCTTTGCCCATTTTTTTTATTTTAGGTCTTACGTTTTTTGACAAGAAGTAGGCTTTTTTTTAGATCGCAATGTGCTAAAAATGTTTCTGCAGAGATGAAATACTGTTYAACTGAAAAGATCAATATACAGAAACAGCAACCTCTAGTGGAGTCTTGTAGCAACATATCCAAGCCAAGTGTTGAAAATGATGTTTTTTTTTTTTTACTAAAGCGAAGTAAAATAAATAAATACTCTGAGCGAATTACCTAACATTTACTGTGGCTTTAGAAAATGGTTTCCCTTTGTTTTGTTTTTATTGATATTTAAAGAATTTAAACCCCCAAATMTACTTTTTTGCAAATAAATTGTCTAAATTGTGTCTTAAAGATCAGACAGTACTATTTTTGTGCTAATATTGAGMTTTTTGTGTYTATTTGTTAAAATCTGCAAWATTTGGTTGAACAGTYGTACTGGAGTTYAATTTACATATTGGTTTAAGACGGTTCGTGTTTTGTTTTATGACTGATAAGAAGCAGACTTGTTGCCAGTGAGGAGAAGCGGAGGCTCAGCAAAGATTTCACCAGAGATTTTCTGCGTTTTCATTATCTGCAGAGAAATGCAGGGAGTTTAGCTGCAGTGGTCTTTATCCCTCTGTGGTGGAACTTTAATCATTCTATCTGCAGATGAACAGCATATCATGAAAACCTAGGTCATTAAAGGATGTCATGAATAACTAGCTGAAACATAAAAGTATTAGTTCCACCACACTTCTAATCACTGGAGGTTGAAGGAGCCTCATGTTGCACATTCTCCATTGGTTTAGTTGTTTGTAGTTTAGACTGATTAAAAACGAGCCACAGAAGCAGAACCAACCGGCCCAAATTCGGTTTGGTCTCTAAATTTAAATCTAGTATTGTTACATCATTTTCAATAATTCCTCTGTAATAAATATGGTTGTTGATGTTTCCCATGTGCCTTGGCCACTCCACCTCTGCAGTCCGGGGCTGGTGTGGTCTGGGATGGACAGAGCMCAGCTGAGGCTGCAGTAAAGAGCCTCGTGTCCTGAATGATCCGGGGACAGAACACGAGTCAGTCCCAGACTGAGCTGACCTGTTGAAACATTGAACCAAACAGAAAAAATAAATATATTTCTGTCTTGTTTTGGACTAAAATCAGATTTTAACAGTTTGTTTTAACAGCTAAATGTGAGTTTGCATGTTTGTCATGAAACTTGACATTTTACAAAATAAAATAATTTCTTTAGAACAATCAGAAATCTTGTCAGATATGTTAGCTTGACAAATTAAGCCAGCTGTCACAAACTCTGGCCACACCTCCTCACTCCCCCACACATACTTTAGGCCGTGCCCCTCAGTGCCTCTTGGCACCYCCCACTTTGTTGGCATTTATCAAACTTGCCTTGGGGCGGAGTTATGTTTTCACATGGAGGGTTAGTGACACTTTAATGTCTCAAGCTGATAATACAATTGTTAAAATCATTTTCCTGCTCAATAGTAGAATGTTTTGAAATTGTTCTTGAATTAGGTTGATGCCTTTTAACAAAAAACATTTAATCAGGATTTGATGCAATTTTGTAAAATTACAAAAATAATTAAAAATCACATTTCCATAAGTATTTAGCCATTTTGCAATAAGACTTAAAATTGAACTSAGGTTCCTCCCATTTACACCTTGACTGGAGTTCACCTGTGCTAAATTAAACTGGAATTWTTAGATTTATTTATTTATTAGAAGACCTCCTAGCTGATAGTCAGAGCAAAATTTTAAGTCATGAGATCGAAGAAAGTACAAACACTGCCCCAGCAGTGAAGCATGGTGTTAGCAGCATTATGATGTGTGGGTATTTTCCAGCAAAAGAAAGAACTCTGATATAGGACTGATGTAAAACACAGATCTGAGGAAGGCTACAAAAATCCTTTTCTGTAACAAGATTTATTTTTCCTCTGACTCACAGATAAGGATGAAGTGCTGCCCATGTGACTCCAAAGGTCAGCTGGCCCATCCAGTCCAGGACGTCCTGGCAACATCTGGACCAGACAGATGGTGGCAGTCCAAGAAAGGTGAGATTTATTACTTTACCACCATATCCAGAAATMAACTGAAGGCCAAGCATTTCTTGAAAGAATGCATATCGCCTGCAGGCTTCCATGCCAGGGTTTTACACTAAAATCATCTTGRGCTGAAAAATGGTAGAGTTGTAACTGTTTTAGTCAAACCTTGGAAAAAGCATTTTTCTCAGTTGTATGTAGTAATGATATATCTGGCATGATTTGTTAGCTCTTGTATCAGAATCAGTTTATGTGTCATTGTACAGAGCACAACAAAACGTGTTTCAGCTTGGTCCCATCCAAGAGAGACAAAACAAAACATACATGAGGGGGCAGAGCCTGAGACAGCAGCCAATGACAGGCACTGCCTTGCATTAAAGAAAAACAAGAAATAGCAAACATGAGAGGAAGATGAGGGATAAACAAAAACAGACGTATCTCACTGTGTCCATACAAAGACACAATATGAGTTTGCAAAAAAATAACCTCTGCGTAGAGCACATTTAAGCCAGCAAAAACTGTGAATTTTATGTTAAGAATGATGCTCAGCTACGACCACAACAAATTTTAATTCAGTATCTGTAAGCCTTAATGAGTTCCAACCATTTTTATATTGATTAAAGTCAATACCTTTTGGAGTCAACCCACTTCACAGCTCCCTCTTTTGTATATGTGCATACAAAAAATACATTTTAAAAGATTTACTAACATCAGTACAGTGATTCACCCATAACGAGAAACACACCCAGTCATACAGGCAACACATTATCATCAGTGTGCATTGCCAATGCAATGCACACTGTTGTGATTCGTTTCTCATCCAAGTCATCTCCACTTTGGCATGCTTCTCCTCCTGCAAACTTTGTCCTAGAGTTGCCATTGTAATTTATATTTGCAAAGCTCCTGTGCCAAATGATGGCTATGTCTTTTGGTGCCTGTACAACTTATAGTTTTTGAAATATTAATGTTTAATAATTTATAATGGGAGTCAATGGAGCCTTGTATTYGTCCYYTACTGCCCCCTGCTGTATCTACTCAGTACTGCACCTTAGTTTAATAACATTTAATTTCAATACTTCAGGGTTTACAATACTAATATGATTGTATTTTGATGTTTTACTATAATATTGTCCTAATATTGCTTTATTGTTGTAATATTTTTCAAATTAGTGACAACCATTACAGTGGCAATATGGCCGCTTTCTGCATACATACAAACCAAACCCTGGCCTCGTTCTAATGGTCTCATGGTTACTGCCATGGGCTTTCATGTGGGAGATCAAGGGTTTGAAACCCAGCAACAGCAACTTTAACAGAAAATCTCTACAAACTTCATATTTTCACACAATTACCCTTATTACAAACACCTGCTGACTTGACAAGCATAAGCTGGTATAGAAAACACATTTGAACTTGATCACAGTTCATTCTGCAAGTCCACTGCTGCAGGCAAAGCCATGCTGCAGTGACATGCTACAAGGCAATGCACACTTGTTTTTGCACCGTAAAAACCCATGTCTAGTTTCCTTTGCTTCTCAACAGTGTGCATTTATCAACATTGGAATTATTTTCCACACTTTCTGTCAGTCAAARAATTTTCCAGGTATTTTAGAACAGGGCACTACAACCAGAGAGATAAAATCAATAGAAATAATAAGGATTTTGCACATTGACATTGACACATTGACCAGCCCTGATGATGGTGTTTGTTTGTCCTGTAGGAGTAAATCCAGTCACTCTCCAGTTTGACCTCAATAACTTGTTCCAGCTTGACAACCTCGTGCTCRACTTTAAGGTATGGCATGGTAAAAATTCAATGAGATTGATATTATTATTTACTGTTTGTGTACATGAAATGTACTGCTTGTGTTACACAGAGACGTCACAAATTCGAAAACCTAATCCGATTAGTAGTTACAAAGAAACATTGTATTCTGCATATACTACTATTACATCCATGTTTTGACACCTTTTCTTTGGACGCCGATGGGCAAACCCTMTGCCTGTTGTCTCTGTAGGGTCCTCGTCCCCAAGCCTTCGTGATAGAGAGGTCTGTGGACAACAGTCGAACGTGGGAGCCTGCTCTCTACTTCGCCACAGACTGTCAGAAAGCCTTTCCAGGTGTTCCAACAACAGTACCTCTTACTCTGGACCAGACGTACTGCCACACCCTACGCCGTCACCCTGACGCGTACAAAGATGAGAGGGTAAGGACAAACAGCTGTCTTTCTACACCTGCTGGGTAGGATTTTAAGCAAGTTCAACAAGAAATCCCAGGTATTATGAAACTGTTCTGGTGTTACTTTGACTCAGACTTTCTAGACAAAAAACACCTCTTTTTATTATTATTTTAGTTTACCAGGAGAAAAARTGAAGTATGTAAATAAAGGATTCATGTAAAGATAAAAGTCCAGAGAGAGGCCAGTGAATGTAAAAATACTTTTAATGTGAAGTCACCAGAAAGARAGGGTGGACAAAGACAATAACAAACAAACTAAATCCAGGAAAAATACAATAAGTCAAAGTATTAGASTTTTGTGACAAATTAGAAAACAGAGCTGTAAGATGTGTGTGCACAAGACAAGCTAACAAAAAAAAAAAACCCTTCTTGTCCACAGATTGAGTTCAGTCCACTGCGTCAGTATTTGTCTGTTCCGGCTCCAAACGGCCAAAAACGTGAAGGTATGTGTCATTAACTACTTCATGATTCAAAGTAAAGTCCAGTTCAAGTCTGCAGCTGACTGACTGAAATCTTTCATCACCAGTGAAGTCTGGGTTCACAAGTCTCCGGCTCAGGCTGACTGAGCTGGGCGAGGTGCCCCACCAACCAGGGAGGTCTCTCAGCAGATTTTACGCCCTGCAGGAAATGAAGGTGATGGGCAGCTGTATGTGCCATGGTCACGCAAACCGCTGTCTGCCAGAAGAAGAAGACAATGGMTTCAACACTATCCAGGTACAGATCTGCAAAAACTGTTACTTGAATTTGGTTCTGTCAAAACTCCAGTTTTTATGTGAGAAGAAATGTGTCAGAAAGACAGAGCATCTTGAGTRAATAAGAAGAGAATACAAGAGTTTCATCTGAACTAATGATCAAAAATTAGGAGAAAAATGAAGACCTAGCATTTCTTGAAGGAATATATGTCACCCGCCATCTTTGATGCCGAAGTTTTAGCCTTAAAATCATATAAAAGACATGAAAGAGCTGTGGCCATTTCAGTCAAACCTTTTCAATGAGATTTGGACCATCTCAGGTGATACTGAAAGTGCATTGTTGCAGTTAGTACCATGCCAAATTWTATCTCAACATAATAAACATAATAACATACAACAATCAGCATAATAAAATCTGCTGAGTTARAGCAATTTTTGTGTAGGATTACTTTGTTCTGACATTTTGAATCAGGATAACTTCAATAATTTATAGATCCAATGATTACGATGGGTTTTCAGATCCAAGTCTTACGGCAGTGGYACGAATATTCACTTTTGTTTTGGTCGCTGTGGCTGAGTGGAGAAATCTCATGTCTCAACAGGTGAACCCTCAGTGTGACTGCAGGCACCACACAGCTGGTACAAACTGTGAGCGCTGRGCTGAACTCTACAATGATCTGCCCTGGAGACCTGCAGAGGAAGGAAACACTCACACATGCAAACGTAAAATCATCTCTACCTTCACTCAAGTACATGCAAATATCTCAACTCAAAAAATAGATCATAGCTCTACCAAAGATGAACAAATCTGCAGAGTAGTTGGCATGAATGAAGTGTGGACATTTTACTCACAGGCAAGGAGGTGTTGAAGCACACAAAAAATGTACAACAGATTCAGTGTCTCAGTGATTTTACTGAGAAAAGCTAAAATGTTTGTTGTTAAAGCTAAAACAATTGAAACACTAGCTACAAGTAGCAAAACACTAGCTCAAAGTACAATGTGTTTAAGACAATTGGAGTTTGTTTATCACTTTAAACTTCTGGCTACTTGTGAAGCTTTTTGATGCTTTCACAAACATTTTGCTACTTTTACCTTCTAGTCAGCTTCTTCTTACTTTATACTTCTTTTGTCAGCCTTTTGATACTTTCAACTTTTAGCTATTTGCTACTTCTAACTTGTGTTTTGAAGCTTTTAGTTTCCTGTTACTACGTGGGTATTTTCATCTAGCATTTTGCTCTACTTTGTGTCTTTCTGCCATCAACATTCACACAGTATTGTTGTAAAAAATGTTATTCTTGCAGTTGTTGTTGTCTGTATTTTTAGATACGTTTTGGTTTCTGTGCGTATGTGAACTGATTTAATCTCTATCATGTTCTCAGGCTGTGAGTGCAACAACCATGCCCAGCGCTGTCACTTTGACCCAGAGGTATATGAGGCCAGTGGGAGAACGAGTGGAGGGGTATGTGAGAGTTGTATGCACCACACTACAGGGCCAAAGTGTGACCGGTGTGCCCCAGGCTACCAGCCAAACCCTCGCAGCCGAATGGACCAATCTGATGCATGCATACGTAAGCAGAAAAAACAAAAATTGCAACGTCCCAAAATCCCATTCACGACACTTATAGTGCACGTCTTGTGGCCCCAGGATGTATTTGCGGAAGTGAAGGGACAGTGAATGGGGCCCAGTGTGAGGACAGCTCAGGCTCCTGTCAGTGCAAAGCGAATGTGGAGGGTCTCCGATGTGATCGCTGTAAGAGAGGACACTACGGCCTGAGCCAGTCCAACCCTTTGGGTTGCAGCAGTAAGTCATCAGAAGTGCATCTTTTACTGCATATAACACTGAAGACACACAGTGGTGGACAAAGCACACAACTCTAGTTCTTGAGTAAAAGTATTGATACTCAGGGTCAAATCTACTCAACTACAAGTAAAAGTTACTCGGTCAAAAATCTACTCAAGTTAAAGTACTGAAGTAATTACTTTTGAAAGTACTTAAGTATTTAAAAGTACATGCATTTAAAAATACTCAAGTATTCAAAAGTACAAATTAAATTTTCTGATTTCAGTACATTGCTGTATTGTTTTCAGAGTGATTTTACAGAACCTTGTAACTCTCAGACACCACCACTATGGACACACGGAACCACTCTGCTACAAATACAGCACCTGTAAAGACTTCAGCATAAAAATACAATAAAGTGAGCGGTGAGTTATCTGCGATGAACAGAGAAGACATTTAAACTGATAGGAACTATTTTTCAGTCCTAAAATCTCAAACATGGAGCTGAGATATGGTCATGTGGTGCTGGTTTCTTTACTCTCTTCAACCGTCTCCATTGCTGGGRTCTGTTTGAAATGAAGGTGGAGCTCAGCTCACGACTGTTAATAAAGACGATGTAATTCCAAATCTATCCTAGATGTGAGCTACYACTGTGATTGGTTCCCCTTGTAAGGAACATGGGGTGTGSCCAATTACAATTCAAGAAAGAAAAACAGCAACAGCTGATTACAAAAGTGAACCAAAATGTAACAAGTAACTAACAAGCTTCCTACAAATGTAGTAAAAAAAAGTACAATAAAAGTAAAAGTGCAATATTTGTCTTTGAATTGTAGTGGAGTGAAAGTCAMAAGTATCCCAAAACGTAATTACTCAAATAAAGTAAAGATACACAAAAAATGTACTAAAGTACAGTACTCAAGTAAAAGTACTCCTCTACTGTCCACTACTGCAGACACCTGATTATGTGATAAAATGGGAGAGAAAGTAAAGGATGTATACAGTTAAGCACTTTAGACATCTGAAAAAAAATCAGGACAACAGTCTCATTCAGAAGGTATGTGTGGCTGGTGTAATAAAAAATATGTGAGGCTTGCATTAGAATTTCATCAGGATATGTATTTATGTTTTATTAAGCAAAATGTGGCAAAATACCACAATTTATTTGAATATGAAACCAAATGTATGCCTAAAAAACTTCTATTTGGTACATTTTTTGCCCAAGGTTTCATTCCACACAAAAATCATGACCTGCAGATAGGTGGCAGTATAGAATCAGCATGGTTCTTATTCTATTCTGGCTCATTAATAGCCAGAAGAAGATGCAGCTGAACTTTAACTCTTTAAAAAATAAAAATAACTTTTAATGAACATTTAAAAATACATCTGACTGGGGGGAGTGAGTTTTTTTTTTTTAGTTTNTGCATGGCAGCCCCACCTGTGTCAGTGTGCCCCAGGGCAGCTGTGGCTACAGTGTAGTTTGCCATCATCAGTGTGTGAATGGGTGAYTGTCTGTTAGTGTAAAGCGCTTTGGGGTCCGGAGGGACTTGAAAAGTGCTCTGTAAGTTCAGTACAAAAATCATAACCTGCAGATAGGTGGCAGTATAGAATCAGCATGGTTCTTTTTCTATTCTGGCTCATTTATAGCCAGAAGAAGATGCAGCAGAACTTTAACTCTTTAAAAAATAAAAATAACTTTTAATGAACATTTAAAAATACGTCTGACTGGGGGGAGTGAGTTTATTTTTTTTAGTTTGTAGCTAAGGAAGTAAAGTAGAATCATGAAACAACAAACACCATGTGTTCTGTTGTTGGAATTGATAAAAAGTGTTTTTACTCAGAGGAAAATGGAGCAAAATAGAGGGGTAAACACAAGTTTTTACCCCCTTTTAGAAAAACTGGACAGCATCTGCTCTGCCTGCGAGTACTGATCTGCAGTACTTATACAAGTTTTGACAGCAACATGAGCCACACCTTACATATTATATAAGGTGTGGCTCAAGAATGCCAAATTTTATGTTTGGCATTCTTTACATCTCCCAACTGATAAAGAAATATGTCTGTATGCCTGCATACATGCAATAAACAAGTGTTCAGCAGTTATTATTAATTTTAAAGACATTTAAAAACAATCAAGCAAATAAAAGAAAAAAGACAGAAAAAATCCACCCTTGTTACATCTTTTCAAAAATATACAAGTGTGACTGATATGYATCTGAAAAACAGCCTAAACATATTGTAATAAGGGTAGGACAAGTTTCCATCTCTTAACAAAWGTTAGTTTTTATGGTCTCAACGAACAAGTAATTTACTCCATCRGGTATAGTACGCCCCATACCTTGTGGATTTATACATTTTATAAAGGAGGATCTGATTTTAACCATCCAACAGTTATATTTTAATGATGCAGTGAGTAATATTTTTAGGATGTATATTTCATCCCTAATAACGCTACAATAGGACTTTGTGGAATATTAAGTTTGCAAATTACTTTAAGGGCATCAACAGCTGCCTTCCAGAATTTGCTTAGTTTAGGTCACAACCAAACAATGTYGGTGATTAGTAATCTGTTCCACAATCAAAATCTGTTGACTTTCCATTTGAATTTTTTTCCAAGTYTTTGAGTTTGTAACAAGATGTGCTTCAGAGCATCTCTCTTACCAGGTATCTATTYATGAGTCATTGTTAATCGCTGCCCTCTTTTGTATGTTGAGCGTTTCATTTATTCATTGTTATGCAATATCATTTACTCTTTTTATTATCACAATATACRTTAGCCTGGTAAAAACCAGCCCCTTGTTCTTAGCTTTGCTTCATACAGAGGGTCTGGACCAATGAGGTATATTTACCTCATTTACCTTTATATTTGAGGTAAATATTCCTCATTGGTCTGGACTCTCAGCTATTAAGAAGCGATTGCTTGCTGGAGGCGTGGCCTCTGCTGAAGTAAAATGATTGGATCTGATTTATGGTTGGATATATTATATGTATGCATATACATATGTGTATGTATTTATATGTATATACAGTACTTGAGTATTTATACTTTTAGGAAAATAACCTGTTTTGTTGAACTACAATGAATGAAAGCTTCATGAGTTCCTGTAAACATTGACTTATCTTGCTCTACAGGATGTTCCTGTTCCCCGGATGGCTCCCTGTCAGATGTGTGTGACCTTCTGACCGGTCAGTGTCCCTGTCGCCCGCATTTCCATGGTCGCACCTGTGATGTGTGTTCGAAAGGCTACTGGAAACCAATGCTATCGAATCGCTGTGAGCCCTGTGGCTGTGAGCCCACCGGGTCGAACAGTGACACCTGCGACAAGGTAGGATCTGCAGCCTTGACCTCCAAACAAAGGTGTTAGGACCCAGCTCAGTCAGAGAAAGAGAAAAGATCACTGGTCCTGACTGAACTTGGCAGAACTCAGCTTACACAATCCACGTGAATATTATAAAACAAAAACAACTGCACTTCTATTCCTACCACTACTTTTTATTACTACTTACATCTAGTTGTCTTAGTTTTTTATCTTTTTTTATTAATTATGATCTGAATGTTCAGCTGTTTGAATATTTTGAGAAAAACCATGTTGATAATGTAGACTCGTGCATTGTTGGCTGTAAACTCATATTTCACTTACAGTTTCCTCCTCTCATTCTGGGTCAGACTATGGTTTTGGATCAGACTCTGGTTCTGGGTCAGACTCAGACTCTGGCTCCAACATGTAAGGCTGAATGGTGTAGTCTTCTGTTGTTGACATCTTTTAATTCAATGGTAAATAAAATGTTTCTGCAAGCTAGACATCATAACCTCCACTCTCAAATCGGAGTGGACCAGTCTGGAAGCAGGAGGTGGGCGGGGCTTGAAGCACCTTAAAGGAACAGTGACAAAACAAGCTGCTTTGAGACACATCAGAAAAGGGCTGATAGAGGAGCTGGTAAAGTTGGAATAAAGAGGAATTCAGACCAAAGCTTTGTAATTTCACTTTATAAAGACCCCAACTGAAGGATTTAAATGTGAAAAGGTTTGATTTAAAAGCAGGATATGTCTATTTTAAAGCTCACTTGATTAGTTGGCTGTACAATGCATAAAATAGAATATTCAACAATAAAATGCAGTTTGTTTGATGCATTTTGGTCAACCAATCTTTTATGTATCAACTGAGATTATTATATTTCATATAACATTATAAAATCCAAAAACCTGTATGGATAGTTATTTGGTATTCATGCTGTCTCTCAGTGGACGCTCTGAATCAGGTGTGTAAACATACTGAGATCATGMGGAAACTGGATAGCTGCTGAAGGTTATGAACTGAGCTTTAAAGCAAGTGGGTGGATAAATAAGCATGCACAACTTTTCAGTTTATTTTGTTTTAGAATTATTTAATCCTGCGTGTCGCTCCTCTCATTTAGTTTTACTAAGAAGAAATTTTGTTTAGGTATGTTATGATCAAACTCAAAATTTATTTAAATTGCAGGTTGTGAGAAGACACAGTAGAAAAAGAAAAAAGAGTTTGAATATTTTGTGACTCCTTGTATTTTTTTCTGTTTTGTATCAAAACTGGATCTTCAAGCTGTTTGTGTTTTTTGCAGCTGACAGGTCAGTGTGAGTGCAGACAAGGCTTTGGAGGCCGGACGTGTTCTGAGTGCCCAGACAACATGTATGGGAACCCTTTGATCAGCTGTCGGCGTGAGTCGTTTCTTCTTTAACTGCAACATGAAATTCCTTCATCTATCAGAGCAATTACACCATTTTTGTTTGTAGTTTCTTACTAATGCTTGTTTTAGAGTCTGACTACTTCAGCATATTTTAGCTATTTCAACTCATTCAGGTATTTTAACAATCTACTCATTCAAAACATCATGATACAATTTTGCTTTTTGTAACTATTGAACTTTTTGAATTATTTTTCATTTACAACTTTTTTCTTATGGAAAACACTTCAGGGCTGATTTATCAAAAGGTTTGCATGCGTAAGAAGATGTGTGCATTAATGTATTAACAGTGCACAGCGGATTGAGTCTGTCAAATGATCAAAACCACAGATGCAATCAATTTACCGTTTGCCGTGTGCAGAGTATATGATTATCAGAATGTGCAAAAATYCTGGGAGGAGGATGMGCATCATTCAGCACTGCAGAGAGACTGATCAAACCTGAAACTGATTGTGGTTGCTGTTTTTGTGTCGTATACATACATTGTTGTGGAAATATTTATTAAAAGGCAGAAACACGTGAAAAAGAAGATGCACTTTGTGAATGGTCGTCGTATGATTTTAATAAGSTTTGCAATTGCAAAGATGAGTCGCAGCGAGACCAGTCTGAATCAGAGTCTGGACACGCAGCAAAACTGAACAGCAGAGATACAGGACATGAGTTTTAKCATACGYGCYGAGCKCATGAACATCCAGTGAGGAAACGACAGGTCTCACAGTAGCTTAACTGAACAAGGACATGTTAAGAGACGATGGCGCCTCCAAAATCAGAACAGATAATAAGAAACTGTGGAAGTTATCAAAAAGATACAAGTAGAAATGTCAAGACAGAATGAACCTAATAATCAGGCAGAGAGGTGTAATTATTTTCTAGCACATACATTTGTCTCCTTTGAAAAGCCAGCTTTATTTGAGGGTGTATTCATACAGTTACAGGAAATGTTTGGTTGCAGTGATTGACTCAAAAGGTTGTGCAACAAAATATTAAGTTATGGGTCCCATCATTTCTGTCCAGGACTGTTTCACGAGTTTTATTTTATTTTATTTTATTTATTCTGTTGAAGCATGATTTAAAATCAATGTCTGACTTTCATTTGTTCGTTTTCAATGAAAGAATTGAAAAGATTTATTTATTTATTATTACTTTTGTCAGATTCTAGTTATTTCTGTGACCATTGTAGGTTTTTTCTTCATTAAARGAGGGGRGTGTGAATGTTWATGTACAGAGACCTGAGAAGATGTTGGTTGTGACTTGGCACTAAAAATGTACATTGAATTGAATTAACTTGAACTGTATTGAAAACTAGTATACACAAGGATCACTTTTTGTCTCACATGGGTCTGTTTCAGCTCCTTTAAAATTTTTCAGCACTGAATATTCACATTTTTTTTAAATTTTCACAGAAAATTTAATATTTCATAGTTAATTTTATAGTTTTTTCTCCTGTCTCAGAGCAACAATTTGCTGATTTTGATGACCTTGTCTGTTTCCCTGCAGCATGTCAGTGTGATGTGGAGGGAACCCTGCCAGGAGTGTGTGATAAGCAGACGGGTGTGTGTTTGTGTAAGCAGGGCATCACTGGGACTCGCTGTGACATGTGCGGTCCTGGACACTGTGACTCTTTCCCCACCTGTGAGCGCTGTCCCTCCTGCTTCTTTACCCTGGACCTCCAGAGAAAAAACATCAGCTTAGCTGCGGAGAAACTTTCTCTCAGGTCCCCCTCTGTTCCTGGAGGTGATGATGAGYATGTTGGACTTCGCATTCAGGCCCTTGAAGCTAGCCTGAATCTAATCAGGAATACTGTTTCCCGTCCGCCCAACACTGTTACACCCATTGACAACGCTCTTGTCCAGCTTGCCAAACTTAGGTAACTATACATCATTCATGTTTCTTCTATAAACAGTTCATTTCAGATGTTTACTGTCTGAAAAGACACATCAGACTGAACCTTTCCTGTTTTAGGTGGGCTAGAATGTGTTTGCCACATGCAAAGGTGTGTGTGTGATTGTGTACGCACGTGTGTGAAGCTGCTGTCTTCAGCGGCGCATGAGGCTGAGAGACATTTCCACAGTTACAAGTCTTTAATAAATGACTGTAAACACAGAGGAACTGATGAGTTTGGTAGAACTTAGAAAAATATTGATTAAARAGTTGATGTGAAGAAACYAGTCGCAGCGTTTCTGCCGCGGTGTGATTTATATTTTAMAATCATGAAGTTTCTCATTCAGATCAGCTGCATGGCTCCACTCTGAACTACAGTCAAATACCTGATCGTAATACAGAAAACAAACAAACAAATAAAAACCAGTCCAATTCTTCTTGTGGTTAGGTTAGCCTGCAGAACAGTTGACATTGTTCCACAAATTACGCACAACTTTACGCAGCAACAAATCTATTGTCTGCAT